CCCCCCCCCCCCGGCAAAAAAAGCCAACTGAGGAGACAGCTTTTAAAGTGCACGTTACCCAACTGGGAGGACAACCACTGAGATGATTTTAACTTTCAGGAGGTGCAGTATCTAGAAGCTGGAAGCTGGGGACAGTCTTTGCATGTCCCTCAGACTGGAAACAATCCTGTCACTGGAAAACCACCTCTGCTCAGGGAGAGAAGCCCCCCCTCCCCGAGGGGGGCTATAGACTGGGGAACTAGAGCAGTTCTAAAGGTCACAAGCAGAAGCACTAGCAGCAATAATCCCAGGCACAACAACGAGTCCCAGAGGTCAGATCCAAAGGGGAGGCAAGAGGGGTAGGCATGTGAAAGCACAGTTCCTGGTAAGAGGTTCTTTTTCTGCAACAAAGTCTATTTCTGGAGGAAATCGGCAGCTCAGGGGAGGTAAAGACTCAACCTTCTTCTGAGTGCCAACTTGTCCAACCAGAACTTGACTACACTGCTCTGAATTAAGAGAGGTGTGGGTAGAGGTGAAATCTCCCTTTTTACAATGACCTAAACCAACAAAGCAAGGGAAACATCACAGCTAGATGAGAGTAACAGACACCTGAAGATCAAAACTGCACTTGCAGGAATGCACAGTACCTTGGACTACAGTGCCACTGAGTGTGCCACTGAGCTCACCAGTCAGTCTGCCAGTGCACAGGGCCGGTGCAGTGTCTTCCTCAGAACCCCATGGGGCTGAAGCCACCATGGGTCGCTCGGGGCCAGGGAGAAGGAATGCAGCCCAGCCTCACAGGGGGTCTGAAAAGTCTTGACAGGTTCAGCTGTAACTCGGAGTTGTGTGGACTGGTAGAAGGAAGTGACTCACTTTTTGCTGTTCAGGGTATTTTGGTTTCATTAAAAAAAAAAAAAAAAAAAAAAAATCAGCTGGATTAGGCCTAAAGTCTATGATCTGAAGGGTGAAGAGTTCTTATGACAAAAACAGGCCAAGGTGGTTCATAGGTGGCATGTTTCCCGCCCCTCAAGAAAGGAGACATCCCTTGGTAAAGTGAGTGGGAGTGGGGGAGAGAAGGCCACAGACCCTTCCGCAGCCCCAACCCCAGGTTCCACCTGGATCTCAAGGCACTTGGAAGACAGGAGTGAGCAGTGCTGGCTGCTGCTGCACTCTCTTGCACTGATCAGCTAGTTTAAACTGCTGGACTAGAACCAGTTCACCCTAAAAAAACAACACAAACACACACAAAAATAAATAAAACAAATTTAGCTAAAAATTTAAACCAGATCTCTTTCAAATAAAGTGAAAGATAAATATCTCCATCTGCAAGGCCAGCTTGCAATTCAACAAGCACCAAGTTACAGATTTTTGTCTTTAAAAAGAAATGTTCAAAGCCTCATGGTTTTGAAGGGCACCTGTGAAGCACAGAATTTCCAGGTCTCCTCCACCAGGAGGCCAAGTGGCAGCACAGGGAGTTTCAGACGGAACCCTTACCAAAGAGCTGTCCTGCACATAACAGCGGCTAAAGCCTCAAGCAAACACAGATCAAAACAGTGAGAAAGGGAGAAGAAAAACCAGGCAGCTTCTGTGAGAACTTCATGGTACAGCATAATTCATAATCAAAGGACTTTGGATTTAAACAGTTTTTCAGGGAACTGCGTTTTGTTGAGGGAGGCCTGATGCAGAATGAGCATGTCCCCTGCTGTGGGCCAGTTCCTCCCTCCACCGCTACACAAGGCTTACCCTACACCTGAACCCACTGCTCGGCCAGAGGTCCTGAGGGGACCTTGCTGAGGCCATGGCTGGGTCTTGGGTGAGGTTGGCAGCTGTGCAGGGTGGGTGCCAGAAGGGCACATCATTCTCTCCCACATGGAGGCACAGGCACAGTAGCAGCAGCTGCCCCAGTGGAGCCCCAGGAGGGCTCTTCTGAGTGGTGACAACCAAAAAGTGTCACACTCCAGGGATATGGATGAGATGCCTCTCTACTCCCTCTGTGCCTAGAACCTGTAGGCAAATATTTTGGACAGTCAGAATGTTTCTTCTGAATTTGATGAGAAAATACTATTTTGTAAGGTAAATCCACAAAACCAAGATCAAGGTGATATAGCTTGTATGTTTCATCCACATCAAGATTCTTACCACTGGTTTCACAGATGTCACCCCTTCAAAAATAAAATAAGGAAAGGGGTGAGACATGCATAGAGTGGTTTATAGGGACCCTTTCTCCATAGGCTGTGGGGCAAAGCTAAGGGTCTGCCATCCTGTGGCTCTCTGGCACTGCCTCTGGGCTGAGCTAAGCTGGGTCACTGAACACGTGCACAGATATAGCCCTTCCTAGCTGTTGTTTAAGACTGTTGTGTTCCCCGCACAAGAGGCAGGCCCTTCGGGATTCCTGACATATCCCCAACTATGCCTGTACTTCTGGACTTTCAGGGTAACATTCTGGGCAGCCACAGATCACCGCTGGAGTGGAGTCTGGTCTTCCTCCTACCCTAACACTCAAGACAATCTGCTCTTCTTGTGCAGGACCTGGGGCGCCCAGGAAGACTGAATGCTGGGGAGCAGTGGACGTCCAGTGTGGATACTTGTGCATGAGGGGCAGGAGGAGAGGCAGGCAGGCAGGCACTGCAGCCAGGTTTGGAGGAAGAGGGTCAGCAGAAGATCTCTTCGCCCTCTGCTGATGCTTCTGATGTAAGGCCGTCTGGAACAGTGAAACCAAGAATGAAAAAGAAATCCTGAAAAATTCCCTTCCCATCTCCCCATCTCTTTCCTCCTCTTGGAAGCCTGCTGTGATGCAAAAGGTTATCTGGACTTAGGGGCAGGGCACTTTCTATATGCTGGAGTAACATCCTGCAAAAAGGGAGTGCTCCATCCTCCTACACAGGTACAGGAAAGGATTCAGGGACAAAATGGCACAGGACAAAGTAGCGTCAGGCTCTGGACTACTGGCGCATTAGTCAATCTCTATGGGCTCCAGTTTCCTCATTTCTCCTGGTCACCAGGTGCATCTACTTCATATACTCACTAAAGGGTCAGACTGTCAAATGCTGCCTGTTATTCCCAGTTACTGAACTAGGTCTACACAGGCAGGAGGGCCTGCATTAGATCATCTGAGTGAGTTCCAGTTTCTGTCTGATGCCACAAAACCAGAACTTGTACCCTCCACCTGGCATGTGTGCCACACAGAGCAGGTCCTGACGTTCACTGCATGCACAGCCCATTCTTAGCCACTTGTTAAGATCAAAATGGTAACAGCTTGGCTTTCCTGCATCTAAGCTGTGCCCCCTCCCTTTCAGCTGCTGTGCTGCTAAAACCACCCCCTTTCCTTAGAACTAGTCACTGTGGGGTGTGGGGGACTTACCACCGGGCTGAGCACGGCTTCCCTTTTTGTTCTTCTTCTTCTCCTTCTCCTTCTTTTCCTTTGGCTTAGTCAACCCAAACAGGCGGGTGGAGGTGGAGGTGCCCAGCAGGGCCTGGCTCTGCCCCTCTGGTACTTTGTTTGCCTGGTTAGTTGAACTCAGTATGTGAAAAGGCCCCTTATCTTTGTGTGTCCGAGAGATGCTATTCCTCTTCGGGGACACTGAAAGTTCTGAGTCCAATGACCCTGACTTGGTCACTGAAGGTACAGATGGCAAGGATGACTCCTCAGGACTGGGAAGGAACGACGGGATCCTCATGAGCTTGGTGTGTTGTTGTGATACCTGCACATGTTTAAGAGAAGGCTTTTTCAGCCAGAGGCTGTCAGCACCCATGCGCTCACTCAGTAATTACTGGCTGAACTCAATTGTGTGCATGGGTAGGGGGTTCACCCACTTCTCAGGACTCTATAGAACTTGTAAGGAGGTTCACAATTTGTTTCATTTGCTGGCTACCTCCAGATGTTAAAAAATATCACCTTCAATACCATTAATATTTTTATTGCAGGCACTAACATCAATAACAAAGATTAATAGTACCTTTAATGGGGCAGTACAGAAAAGACCACACATTTCATTCCCTGAAGAAATAAGGAAAGCTACATAGTTAGCTGTCCTGATTTTCATGACGATATAGACAATTATTTCAGGGCAAAGAGATTATAAGACCTCTCTCCAGGTAAATCCTGGCTAAAGGTTAAACAACAGATAAAGAGGATAATCTGTTCTATGCTTTCTTAGTTGTCAAAGCCCCACTGATTTTACTGGAGGGAAGTGGAATCCATCTTTGTGTCATAAAAATCAAGAGCAATTTGTTGCTGCTGGTTACTATAAAACCTCTGCAAAACGTGAACAATGCCCCTGACCCTGGATGATAATGCTTTAATTTTCTTTCACGGTCCAAGGTGAGTTAATCAAAGAAATGTCAACCTGATAGGAGTTTTAAAAGATAGAGGGATCCATGCACAACTAGGCTCTCCATCTGTCACATGTGTCCACAGCCCCGAATAACCATGGAGTATTACTCAAGTAAACACAGAATCAGTATGCTGAGTGACGGACAGCCTGTCTGTACAAATAGCAGCTCTGCAAATCAGGCATTAAACTGGGCCCAAGCAAGTCTCATCTGCTCAAGAGGAGAGGCCACCTCCACCCACTTGCTAGGCTGGGCTCTGTCCCATCACTGATGTTGCTGACCCTCTGGCACAAGTCCTTCAGGAGCTCTGGCAGCTGAGCCACTGACTGCTACTCTGACCACAAGCGCTGAAAGTTCCAGAGCCTTTATCCTTGGTGTTTCCTCATCAGGCACAAGTTCATCTGTGGGGGCACGGGGCAGAGGGCTGGCTCCCCAAATTCTGACTGCCATCATCTCAGATGTGCTGAGGCTACTCTAGCCCATGCTGGGGGTGGGGTAGGGAAGTGCCTGTCAGCTGCAAAGGGCCACTGACTCCTCTGCCCCCACCCACTGGACTCCTCTTCAACCTCCTAGAGATGCCCAAGGTAGAAACTCACTCCCGGCCACAAATTCTGGGCAAAGCCTTTCTGCTCACTTCCTCACAGGTGAGCCGCCCTCCTCCACATGCAGCAGGGCTCCCCATACCTGACACAGGTCCCTGTCCGTCTGTCTCTGGCTGAACCGCTCCATGTCCCTCCGCAGCTGCTCCTGCTCCCGCTCTAGCTGCTTTTGGGCCGTGCGCAGCCGCTCCAGGTCACACTGGTACACGCCCTTCTTCTGCTGGAGCTCCGCGGAGTCCCTGTCCAGCTCCTGCTGCCCGCGCTGCACCTTCTCCTCACGCTCAGCCAGCCGTGCTTCCCGCTCACGAAGCTCCCTCTCCCGGGCCTCCCACTCACGCTCTCGCCGGCGCTTCTCCTCCAGGTGCTGCACCTGCTGCTTCTGCAGGTTGGCCAGGTCCTGGCGCTGCTTCTCCAGGCTGCGCTGCTTCTCCTGCTCGATGAGGGAGCTGGGGCGGGATGTGCTCCGAGTGAGCACCCTCTCGTTCAGCACCAGCTTCCGGTCCTCAATGTAGCTGTCCTGCTGCAACACCACACCCTGAGGGAGGTATACAGAGGACAGCTGTGCAACCCCGGCTCAAGGACAGCCAACTCCTGGGACCTGTCCTGATGGCACACCTGGGGGTGCTGTGCCAGAATGAGCCCCACTTAAGATTTTCAGGGTGGCTCTGGTAACAAAATGCTCCAGGGTACTCTTGGGCAGTTGACTCAGTCACTTAAATCTGTAGCTGTGGGTAGGACCAGGGATGAGGTGAGTGTGCTGCAGGGTGGGGGTGGACAGGTTAACTCCTCAAGAAACGAAGAGAGAAGAATTTGAGGAGATGGCAAGTACAACACAGTTTACAGTAGTTTGGGGAGGGCCACCCTATCCAAACACCACACAGAGACTTGGACAACAGAACCTGACCCATTGACCTCCAAATACGTGGGAGACTGTCACCTATCTGAGTCTCCAGTCCACAGCTGCTCGTCAACTCCAGTGCCCACAAGTGGCCAGAGAACCCCACCCACTGTCCTGGTGACTTTCCTCATCCGGGGAGCCAGGCTCCTCCGGGTTGGGACCCCATTTACCCACACGCGACTTACAAACCTCGGTGCTCACAAGAGAACCTGTTTTGTCCTCTATGCAAGGAAGTGCATGTGAAAGAAGCCCCGTACCTGCAGGGTGCTGAGGAGTTCGTGCAGATGAACAATGCTCCTGACAACTTGCTGCAAGAGAAACAAAATGGAAACATTCACTTCAGGACTTCATGAATCTCAGAACCAATCACACTACATGGTTATAACATACTTAAAAACTGCAAGGGGCTCTGATTTTATTAAAAAGTGAAAGCATCAATCAAGGGGAATAAGCAAGTAGAAGTAGCCAAAACACCCCCAAAAGACCAAACAAAACAACGTGTGTGTAGGAGGGATACCAGTGTCCATAAAAGTATCACAAAGTTCCAATGTTAAAGATAGTAGAATAAAGGTGATTACTAATGTAACTGAATAGAAAGCCTACAGAAGAGCCTTAAGAATTTGATATATAAACAGCTGGTCTAATCAATATGAAAAGAAAAAATATTAAATTGTTCTGAGAAAATTGCTTTTATTTGTAGAAAACATTAAATTGGGACCTTGGTTCACACCAACAAAGGATTTGAATAGATTAATATGTTAAAGGTAAAAACTGAAGCATAAAAGAGGTAGAAGAAAATGTAGGAGAAGGCTTTCGTAACAGACAACTGACAAAACTAGTATTAAGAAAAGCAAAGGGAAAACAAAGTGAAAAACAAAATAACAACAACAAAAAACATTGATTTTAAAAAGGTTTATGCCAGGTGTGCCTATAATTCCATCTACTCAGGAGGCTGAGACAAAGGATCTGAACTTCAAGGCCAGCTTAGGCAACATAGCAAGGTTCCATCTCAAAAAAATTTAAAAAGGCTCTCATAGATGATTGGGGAAAGAGGAAAGAATTGTTTCTGTACCATGGCATTTACAAAAGAAATACAAATGGCCAGTTCGATGACATATTAAAAATAATTCAGGTCCTAGGAGTACTAAGTAGCTCAGTCAGAAGTAGAGCACATGACATTTTGCATGCACAAACCCTGGATTCGATCCCCAGTGCCAAAATAGTAAAAAAAAAGAAATGCCACTTGAACTTATCTAACCATCAAAACACCAATGAAAATCACCAACATGTTTAACCTAATGATAAGATATCTCCCACCTCAAGTACTAGGGAATGAACCAGGACCTATGCACTGAGCTACAGCTTTGTCCTACTCTGCCTTATGTTTAAATTTTAAGATAGGCTCTTGCTAAGTTGCTTGGGCTGGGCTTGAACTTGTGATCATCCTGCCTCAACCTCCCAGTTTGTTTTTTTATTTTGTTTTTTAATGCTATTGGGGATCAAACCTAGGGTCTTTTGCATGCTGGACAAATGCTCTAATACTAAGTCCCATTTACTCTTTATGTAGTTCATAATGTCCTTACCTCACTGTTTCTTTTAAGCATAAATACTAGGTTAGCATTTCCACCCTATAAAACAAAAAATTGCATTTAAAAACATGATCTTGATGTGAAGTTATATCCAATGCATTTGTAAGTTATGCTGTAGTTTTCTATTTTCTCTTTTCTACCATAAATTCTCACTACAAAGATCTGAGGTTGAAATAATTATATAAGTTTTTTGAATAGATCTGGCTGGTGGAGCACTAAACAGACTTAATGAAACTGGTCCTGGCAGGGCCATGTGGCTGAGGAATGTAAATGGGCTTTAAGCATCCAAACAAGACCAAAGTGGAGTAATTTCAAAGTTTCAAGGAGGTTCACACTATATTAAAAAAGAAAAAATACCTTTTTAAGACCACTATCTGATTCTGTTCTCCTAAGATCTTGGCCATCATCTCCTTCTTCCTTCTCAGCTCCTAAACACAAGAAAGAATACAATATAGATAGTTCAGGCATTTCTAAATCCTACTAATGAAGAAAAAGTGGAAGCCACTTGGTGGCAACTAATCTATGAGTAATAATTTTAGTGATGCAGAAGAACTACAAGCAGGGAGGAAAACAGTATCATTTATCTGAAATATATGGGACCAGAAGTGTTCTGGACTCAGAATCTTGGAGTATCTGTAAACACCACTGAGCTTATCTCGGGCATGCGTCCAAACAGGAAATTCACTGTTTTACATACACCTTTATACAGACAGCCAAAAGGTAATTTTATATAATATTTTAGTGTGCCTACATTCTGACTTCAACCTTTCACATAGTCAAGTGTAGAATATTTTACTGTGGCATCATATTGGTATTTAAGAAGTCTTGGATTTTTCAGGCACTTTGGGTTTTGAGTATTTTAGATTAATGATGCTTAACTTGCATTATTTAAAATGAATGTCTAATAAAAAAAAAATTTTTTTTGAGACAGCATCTCAAATCTGTAGTTCAGGCCGGCCTTGAACTATGTAGCCCAGGCTGCCTCAAACTCACAGTGATCTTCCTGTTTCAGACTCTAACAGATTCTTAGTGTTTAAGAATCTCATTAAAACATGCAATGACTGAATGGGAAAGGAGGTGGAGCTGCCAGAATCCAGGTCATTTTAGCTATGTAGAATAGTTTAGGACTGCTTACCTTTAGACATGTTCATCTGATGGCTATCAAATCCCCCAAAGGTCTCTGCTCTCCGGGGCAAGGAAACAGGGCCAACCATGGCTTCTTGCTCCACAGTGCCGCCAACAGCCTGTGCAAGTGTTGTGCCTCCCAGGCCTCCACTCAGCAGACCTTGAAGGAGCTCCACTACAAAGAGGAAGATATTTGGTGTCTCCCAATGAAAGAACACAACTTGCTAAAAGGATCAAATCTGAGTAATGCCTCTAAATACTGCTGTGAGTGTGAAGGAAATAAGACAGAACCTGCTGTGTGAATAAAATCCAATCTGCAGTTTGAAGGGAAACTGAATGGAACAGAAGGGGACGGCATATAAGTGATGATTACTAATAGAATAGAGTACCTGTTGTGAAGGGAGGGAGGTGTGATAGGGACAGGGCATAAGGAGGGGCTTTTAGGCCACATTTTATTTATTAACCTGGGTAGTGGTTATAAGGATGTTCACTTGATAATTTACTAAGGTGAAATATTCATTTTGGCTAGTTTTCTGTATTGTGCTTTATTTTACAGTAACAATGTAACATCAGTGTATAAACACACCAGGAAAGAATAATGGGCAGTGCTGAATGTAGGTTACCCTCATTTATTGCACTCTTCATTAAAGGCCCTCCTTTGAGAGCCTCCTCTGTGTTGGAGCGGAACAGAGTTCTAGGGCTTTGAGTTGGGGAGCAATCATCCGGCAAGGGAGTGGTGCACTCAGTCATATCCCGGAAAATCATCTCCTTCTCTTCCAGTAAGAGGAGGATCTGCTGGTCCTTCTGTTGAAGTTGTTCTGCAAAGTGGAGGGAGAAGGCAATGTGATTTCTTTAGTGTTAAGATATCGTTAAGACATGATCACCACCTTGTGGTAACTTACAGAAAGGGCCTAGACAGAAAATGGCTCCCTGCCCTTTTGTCAACCATAAAGGGAAGATCAAGTTTCTGCTCTGTAATTTCTACTTAGAAAGCCTCCTTGGATCTTTCTCGCAAACACTGGCACATTCAACCTAAGTATGCCCTCTTTTTCCACTTCCCTGCCCTATTTTTTATTTCCCTGGCCCAAGCCCCACAACTCCACAGTTGCTCATTCCTGGATCCTCATTTAGTTGCAGGTCTTTATTAAAGACAATTATGCTCTCCTTTGAAACAGTGTCCCTCCTCCACTTTGAGGAGGTTTTCTTCCTCCCCTGTGTATGGGTCTGCCATCTGTAGTGCTGGGGGCACAGCTGGGTTCCTTCTTTGACTCCATCCTGGGCTGCTTTGTATACCTTCAACACTTTTCTCCTGGGATCTCAATCACTCCCTGGGGGTTCAAGTATCACCTACATGGTGACAATTCATAACAAGCCTCCCAAATCCTATCTTCTTTTCTGACCACTGGCTCCTATCCTTAAGTAGCCATCTCTGCTAAGATGCCTTGTTCTCAGCGTCTGAACCCAATCTGTATGTTGACCTTGCTGCCCTACCTATCTCCCCACTGTAGCCTATGGTCTCTTCCTCAGTTGGCACCTGTTCACTTTTCAGGTTACACATGCTAGAAACCTGGAGAGATTTTGTTTCCTTGCCTTGTGTTTCCACCACTCACACCCAGCTGGCCAGGTTTTAATAACTTTATTTCTTATATCCCTCTCCAGCTTATTTCTCAACTACCCTATTATCTTAACAACCTCCTAACTGGTCTTTGTATTTCCAGCTGTTCTCCCACTCCTTCAACTCTCCTAATTGGCTTTAAACACATTAAAAATTTAAAAATCATTCCCGTATCTCTCCTTTCAAGACCTGGTGCTTTCCTAGCTTAAGCTGCTGTCACTTAGCTCTGACCTTCCAGAAACATGAAACGTGCCATTCTTTGCCAGGTTCATCAAGTCCTTTTCACACGTGCACACCATCGTTACTGGTTGCTATAGTTTGCTTTTTCAAAAGTAATCAGATGTCAACTTCTCTGTGGGACTCATTAGAGGCAGGACAAAAAGAACCCACTCACTTCATATGAACCACCATGTGGTCTCCTGTGCTAGAGTGTGAGCTTCCTAAGGGCTCTTTTCAAATCTCTGCATCCTAGCAGTACACCTAAGCCAGGGGTACAAATGTTAACAGAAGGAAGATTTTATCCTTGCCATCCTATTCATGGGCCAAAAATTTGACAAATCTGGCTGCAGTCTAAACCTGCCCATCCTTTATTTCCTCTGATGAAGCAAATGCTACCATTTTGAACAGCTTGAAGGAATAACTAAACTTCTTGAGAGCTTACACGTTTGACTGCCACCTTGACTTTTACTCAGTGTTTACTGTGTAATACTCAATAAGTCATTGGCAAAGCGGGCAGAATGCCAGGCCCTACTGTTTGTAAGACAAGGGTTAGGATTCTGGCTCAGTGAGTAACTGCACTTCAGGGTGTGTGGCTTTGACGTCTTCCATTGTCTCATATGTACAACAGGGATTAGAACTCCTGCCTTGCAGTGAGGTTAACAGCAACAGCAGATACTTGATAAGTAGTAGTCCAACATACAGGAAATACTTTTCCCCCCAAGCCACCTCACAACTCATCTGTGAATGTAAGGAAAACTGAGAAAGCCAGGGACCCGAAGGAGAATTAAAACAGATTAACCAGCAAAGTCTTTTCCTCAAATATCTTCTTCTGTTTGCAGCCAACGCTTCTGGACACCACTAACATAGCAGCCTTCGGCAACTGCAGACATTCCATAGACAAGGGCCTCACACCACTTCAGTTTACCTTTTAGCTCCCGAGTTTTGGTGTCCAACATCTTTTTTTCTTCCTCATTCTCACTGGGAATTCCCTCATCTTCATCTCTGTTCCTAGCCAAACAAAACAAAACAAGATGAAACAACAAATTCTTCAGATGTCACTGACTGGTTACTGCCCGGTCTATTACGGCACACAAAGGTATTAGGAGGGCAGGGTGGGCTGGGTTCTGGTGTTTCTCTTACAGAGTGTTGATTGTATCCTGAATGATGTGAATCCAGCTGTTCCGCTCTTCTTTGGAGCTGGCATGGACCTCCACCATCTCTGGGTCTTTTACCCCCATACTGATTAGGAACAGACCTTTCTCCTCATGTGCCACTTCTCTTACGATCAGCTTTTTTAAAGAGATCACTGTTGATTTCTGGTCCTGGAAAAATTGGAGAGGGCAAACATTAGAAATTTATACAATGTTTTAACTATTAAGGATACATTTCACCGAAGGTAAGATCAAATACTGTTTAATTTGCATGTAGTTTTAATAAAAATGGTATTTTTAGGACAAAGAGAACTATCTCTTACTTCATTAAAATTTTAACAAACAGAAAAAGATTTCCAGAAACAGGAGATGATAGTTTATGGCCGTAATGGTTCTTGGTATGTTTTCTACATGATGAATCTTTCCAAGTTCCCCACAGAAATACTGGTCAACATTTTCATGCATAAACATCATTTTGGGGATTTGTGAGAAATACTCCGGTGACAGATTTCTAATTAAATAAGCAAATATATTCAGGGTATGCAAAAGGATCATGAGGGAGCAGAAAAATAATTTTGGCAGTCAGGAGAAACAACAGAAAACCACAAAGGTTTATAAGAGATTACTCAGATGACTCTGTCCTGAATAAATTAATTTTCAGAGGGTGGGCAAGCCATAATAGAGTGTTAACATTCCATACCTAACCTAGCTGTTCTGAATGCTATTAATTCCAAACAGAAGAAAATAATAGCTCAGCTTACCAGTGATGCAAAGATGTATTTCTGGTCTTTTTCTTGAAGGAAAACTAAAATGTCAGTGAGCAGAACTGCCTGAACCTCTGGAAAGTGGAAATGGGAAAAAGAGAATGATGACTACTTAATATTCAGGGTCAGTGTTTTACTGAAGGATATTCAGTGACACACCCCATGTTCTAAGATCACACTCCATCCCAAGGCAACGGTTTTACAGTTCTGTACAATTCAGATCTGGACATCAGACTTTCATGATCATTTAAAAATGTGGTTCACCAACAAAGCCTTGTCATAGAAAAGCTTAAGTACTCATCAGTCCTGAGAAAATATATTAGGCAAAATTTTAGGAATAAATACTTTTGAATTTCAAAATTGGACGTTTTCAAGCCTGGCATGGTAGGATAGACCTATAATTTTAGCACTGTGGGAGGCTTAGGCAAGAGGATCACAAGTTTTGAGCACAGACTGACCAATTTTGGGACTTAGTGTGACAAACAAAAAAACAAGGGGTTAGGGATATAGTGCAAAGGCTTTGGGGTTCACACCCAGGAGCCAAAAGACAGACACCAACAGATGTTAAACAGCAATTTATAGCAATATATTCACAAGATATTCAGTAATTCTTTCTAATACTGATTTACAGTAATGGGAAACAGCAACCAGGAAAGCTGCCTGAAGACAATGTATAGAAATATCTAAGTCTAATGAAAAGTAGACTTTTTTGATTACCCCCCACCAAAGAAAGAGTAAGAATGGCCTCCAGACATACCCTGTGTCCTCATAAAGTAAAAGCAAATACAGAGTCTACCCCCAGGTCCCACAGGCAGTAGTCCACTCTTCTATTTCTCTATCCCATGACAACAGCTCTCTTCCTCTCCATTAAAACTAGAACCAAGGGAATAGGTGTATTTCAGAATGCATTCCTAGCATCTGTGAAGCCCATCCATAGCAGCTCTTTCTCAAAAACAAAACAAAGCAAAACAGAAGAATTTTCCATTACTCCCTTACAGACAATTTGACATCTCCACACCGTCTACTGAGAGCTAACAGGCTGACCCCTATGTATATCTTCACTCTGGAAAGTGGAGCCTACGATCCCTTTAGGGAAAAGGATGGAAATAATTTACACAGCTTCTCCTGATTTTTTTCTTTAACCTCTGCTCTAGCAAGAGTCTCTTTTCCATGGAATTGATTGTAAAGCTATGAAGAAATGGAAGTAAGGAGGCCTGATTTCTAGGGAAGTCTAATTCTTCAGCCTAGACTACAGTAATTTTCCAAGCACTATCATTAGTTATGACAAATGTACTTTATTTTTAAATAATTCAGGCATCTGCCAAAAAAAAATTTCACCTGGGGGTGAAAATGACTCAACACCAGCTCCTATCTCCACTGGAGGTATCTCAAACAGAAAAACTACCATTTTGGCTTGATTACAACTCTATTCCAACAGCTGGAATCCATCAGTTTTAATTTTGGGAATGAATAATTGCCCTGTAAAGCAAGTAATAAGCACCAGCTTCAAACAGCAGAAGCTCTAGGAAACCCAGGTCCTTATAAGAGAGAAGAGGTTGTTCTGAACTGCCCAGGTGCTTAAAAGACAACTTCAAAGAGGCAGTGTGAAGAGGCCTGAGTTCAGGATCATTACAGAATAATTGGCTGGTGGAAGCAAGGGCTGTCACTTGTCTCTGACATGGTCCTGCCTTCATTTCCGAGCCTTCTATTGCATTGTAGGCTGGGCCACCACTCCTTGAATCACGCAAGTGCCTACTGAGGCTCTGTCATTTCTGATGGGCTCTACAAAGCCCTGTCCAGTATGCGAACCTTTCCAACTTAAACCCCTATGGTGAACACAGCCTTGGCCCACAAGCCCTGGGGGTAATGCCTGTCAGTACGGAGTGTGCTCCACCAGTGTGGCCCAGGAGTTCCTACGGGCCTGCTACCCAACACCACTGTCATTCACTTGATACCTGTATGAGAGGCCTGGCTGCCTAACGTGGGTTCCTAGCTCGTCCTACTCCATGCTTCCACCTTATCCTGCCCTGGGACCAGGACCACTTTCTCCCTATCTGCTAGGAACCTTCCTCTCCATCTTTTAAGACTTGCCTTGACTGCCCTCATCCGTCTTCTACTCTAGTCTTCATCACTGGCCAGCAATTGCCTCTTTGTAAGTTTCTTCATTCTGATTCCAACATCACTCATGGTAGAATTCAGTGACGGCCTGGGATTTCTGTTGTGAGCATGCTGAGACTATATCAGGATGATTGGGTACACTGATAGTTACCTGCATCACTACACCTCAGAGCCCAGAGCAGCACACACCCTCCACCTCCATCTATGCCAGTGGGGCTGACTGAGCCTGCTTCATGTCCTCAGATCACTGAGGTCAGTGACAAAGGGCGGTGCACTCGAGGCCACTGGTGCAGCCAGAGCTCACAGAGGCCCATACAGTACAGGTGAGTGTGGTTCAGTGGCAGATCACTTGCCTAGCACAACAAAAACAAAACTCCTCCTCACTTCCTTAATCTACTGAGGCTGACCACTGGAAAAGCAAAGACAAAAACCAAATGGAAAATGAAAACTAATTGTAGAAGAAGTTAAAAGATATGCATATCATAAAGTGTAATAAGGTAGCTGACATGAGTTAAACTCACTGTTCACTATCTCAGAAGTCATAAATCCCTCTAACATCTCTGGGAACAAGTGACACATTTTAATTTCACAACTTCTATCAACTGTCACTCACCTCCTCTCCCTCCTGGCAACTGCAATTACTTTGCCATAACCACAGTCCCATATTGTCTGCTTATGTCTTGGAAGGGAGTATGCATTTCTTAACAGCTTGCAAGTTGGTATTAATTTTTTTTTTTTCGTTTATGAGACAGGATCTTGCTATGTGGTTCAGACAGGCCTTGAACTCACTATGTATCTCACATTGGCCTCAAACTCATGGCAATTCTCCTGCCTCAGCCTCCCAAGTGCTAGGATTACAAGTGTGTGCCCACCATGCCCGGCTTACAAATTGGTATTAATCTTATCCTTTGTTTTAAAAAAATGTTACTTCTTTTTCTTGGCTGCATCATTTCCTTTTCTTCCTGTATTTTATTAGATTTTGTAAACTATCACAAACTAGTCCTTTCTGATAGAAAATATGGTGATAATTTCCAACAAAAGCACTTGGATTCTCCCTAATCTCCCAAGGCACAACTTAAGCAAATAGAGCTTTACCTTTCAGCCTTCCTGCTGCACTCTTCAGAAACACACTACCATCGCGCACCAGCTTCTTCCGCTTCAAATCCTCCTTGGCAAACATCTGACCACTCTTCATCCTCATGATCGACTTGCTATCTGTCTTTGTATAAATCTCATTGAGTCGTACTTTCTTTTCGTAACTTGCCACTTTGCTGTCCACCGCTCCAATGACATCCTTCACCAGGCTCAAGGACTGAGCCAGGTCTTCCTGCTCCACTTCATTGTCTTGGGAAGAACAATGCTGTTGTTAATGGCTCCTTTTAGACCAGAACAAGAGGGTAACAGATTGTTTCTTGGTCTACACCACGTCGTTATTTTCCCTTTGTAGTTATGCTATTAGAGTGAAACTAAAGCATCAGAGGTTATGGGCTTGTTTCTCTGGTTGCCATACATTTAATTCTAAAGAGAGGAGCTCTCAATGGTATGGATAACATGCAATCACACGCTCTATTCTAAAATAAAAGAAACCATTCTTAGGGAGGAAGAGTAGCAGAGAAAGGAGCAACATGTTATTCATGTCTTGGTTTTACCTAATCTTTAATGTAATTACCTCACAATCTGACTGATAAAAATAGCCGAGACAGAGAAATAATAAATAATGATGAAATGAGAAACAGCAGCAATTCTAGACTAGAAGAAGAACTGGTGGGACTTGTCTGCCAGTCTAGCGATAAAGGAAGTGAGTTGTTCAGGGCACTGAACTCTGGATGGGATCAATGAGTGTGCTTCCTTTCCTTCTTGCGGTCACCCACTCAATGTCCAGTGACAACATTCCCAGTGTTCACTCGAGAAAAGAATTTTCAAAATGAAACACAGGATCTATCACAGTCTTATGAAACAGCTCTTCTGCAGTGGTCTCAGCACTCCTAGACACACAGAATCAGACCACCAGTCTACAGGGCTAAATTTAAAAACCAGACTCACCTTTGGTACACTGCAGTATTCGCTGGAATAAAACTGGGTACTTGGTGATCCTCTGGGTTACAAGTAATATGCATTCTGGAATTCCAAGCCTCCTTACCACTGAACTGCTCATCTTCTTCTACAAGGGGATGAACAAACTATTAGGGACTATGTGAGGAAGACGACTAGGTAAAACCAACAATGACACATTATTCCCGACAGTGATGGAGGCTTCCATGTTTCACATCAGTACCTTTACAAAGGCCTGAAAACGCTTATCCTTTGTATAAAGGTCTTTGAAGTAGTTTACAGACTGGTTGTGTTGCCCACAAAACTTGCCATATGTCTTCTTTAAGCGTTCTGCATTCTCACCCAAAAACTGCAGAGAAAAGAGAATAGTGGTTATGCTGTAACTCAGTGCTGAACTTATGTTATCATTGTGTAAAAAATTTCCACTCTATTTGTAAAAGACGAGTACTTCCTTGTAAGTTCTCAAGATTAAACTAATAAAGTAGCTTTAGTAAAAAGTTGTGCTTTATGAATAACATATATAAACATACAGTTTTCATAAGACCTAGCAATTTCACTCCTAGGTGTAGATGTGCAAACATACAATGACCAAAAACTTACATACCAATGTTCATGGCAGCATTATTCATAATAGTACCCAGATGGAAATAATATGACTATTAACAAATAAAAGATGCAATGGATTATTACTGGGCCATAAAAAGGAATAAAGTGTGTGTGTGTGTGTGTGTGTGTGTGTGTGTGTGTGTGTGTGTGTGTGTATGCTGTATTTTGTAATGAACCTTCAAAGCATTAGGCCAGGTAAAAAACCATTCACAACGGACCACATATTGTTTCACAGGGACATAAAAAGTATTAGTGGTTGTCTAGTATTAGTGGTTGTCTAGTATTAGTGCAGTTTGGTGTTTGTGGGATATGTAGATGGCTACCAAAGAGTGTAGGGCTTTGGGGATGGGTGCTGGGGAATGAACCCAGGGCCTTCGCACAGAGCTACATCTCTCAGCCAATTTTTATTTTTTATTTTGAGATAGGGTCTCATTAAGCTGCCAAGGCATGGTTCAAACTTGCAGTCTTCCTGTCTCAGCCACCCAGAGTGCTGGGATTTATAGGCAAGTATAGGTTTTCCTTTTGGGGTGATGAAACTAACTGTGGTGATACCTGCCTAACTGTGAATATATCAAAAACCATTTAACTATACATTTTAAATGGGTGGATTGTATGACATATGAATTTTATCTCAATAAAGCTGTTACATATACTTAAGAAATAAAAACTTTCAGAAAGTCTTATTTACCATCCACATAAACAATATATAATGTTTTCTTCCACTTGTTATGAACACAGTAGCAAATAAGGAGGTTCATAAGAAATTTATCATGTAACCATGAGGCTTAGAAATTTGACTTTAGTAAATTAGATACTGTAGACACCAGGAATGGGCTTCATTATCTAGGGATCTGATTATCCCGCTTCCTTCAGGCAGGCAGTTCTAATAGTTGTGCACTTCATCTTAGCCAAATGGGTGAGAAGTGAAAATTCAATTTTCTGTGGCTCTTAAGTCATTTCCAAATATGTACAATCTTGGGCCGGGGATTTAGCTCAGTGGTGCTACCATCTGCCTCACAAGCACAAAGCCCCAGGTTCAATTCCTGGAACCCACCCCCCCACAACCCAAATATGTACAATCTCAAAGGTCCTTCTGAAGATATGTTTATGTTGGTGTAAGTCAATGAATTTATGGTGGAGTCTATATGATGCATGCCAAGTGCTGAATTCCGCATGCCAAGTGCTGAATTCCACATAGTGAGACAAATCTCTGGATACAACACAAATTTATCCTCATCAAAAAATTTGAAGGTTCAGTGTAGCTTTTCCATTACTCACTTACCAATGGGTAAGCTGAGGCAAAGAGATTATACGTTATCTGCTCAAATGGTAAAGCAAGTTTCCTAAAGGGTTCCCTAACAATGGCACACATAGTAACAAACAAGACACTATGAGACTAGCTCCAAAGATCAAGGGATGTATACAAATAGAAGGACTTATAAAATAATACCATAATCAAGGTTAGAAAAGGTGCTTGGTCCTGAAGGCAGAGAGGAGGGGCAGAAAGAGAGAAATTAAAAATATTTGGTAAAGGGGATTTTGTGGGGAGGAATGGTCCTCATTTGTAGGTCTTTCTTTTTGTCCCTATCTTTTACAAATACCTTGTTCAATGTGCATTTTGGAAATGCAATTTACTACACAGAATTTGCATTTCTTTCCGTGAGTGTTTTTTACTCCTAGAACAATTCACTGGTGCGAATTTCCAAGTCCTACATATTCACCTGAGTTGCCCGACCTGTCATTCAGTAGATGCTTAGTAAACACTTTAAGAGTGAATGAATACACTAATAAAGTGATGAAGTGAGGGGTATAGGCTCAGAAATACAAGGACAGGACAAAATTTCCAATTCTCAGACCAATGCTCCAGCAATTATGCTTCTCTTCTATACAGAAACAGGGATTTAAAGGCTGAGTCATATGCCTGTGTTATACTCATGTTACTATTAAGATTATATCTGTGTAACATTTTTTAAAGAAACAATAAAACAATTTGCCTATGACAAATATGTAAATGTACTGAAATAATTTTTAGACGAGCTACTTTTTGGAGTGGAATTAAACCATACTACACCTTGATCTAAATAATATATGTTTTATGAAATATTTCATATATCACTGTTTAATTTTCTATGCTTCAGCTGGTTTTTAAACAAATGATATCCTTCTGATTTGAGCAATAAGGGAAAGATGAAATTTCCCATCAAGTAGTCTTTGATTTCTAAAACTATATATTGCTTCTGTTGATGGAATGGATTCTGAGAAGAAACTAACTTTATTGTGTATCTACCATGTTAACATACATACTCCCTTTTAACCTTCTAAAATAGCACACTCTGTCACATTTTACAGAAAAGGAAATCAAGGCTCAGAGAGGTGACATCACTTCTCCAAGCTTACACAGATATGAGAGCATAGCTCTCGAGCCCCAAAGTTTTACTTTTTCCCCACAGCATGTGAGAAGAACCTGAGATCATTTACTTTGCTCACCTGATTTACAAGCACATCTCCTATCCTCTTGATAAGGAAGTTCTTTTCACTTTTATCCACTAGAGATTCCTTCTTCCGCTCCAAGATTCTCTGAAAGAACTGGCTATGAATACTGATCAGCTCATCCAAACAGGGGAACAGTTTTTCCACCATCTGCTGCTCAAAGAGGAGCTCTGTCATCATCCCTCGGCTGTACACATCGCTCATGATCTTGAGCGTGCGGAGGTGATGAAACTCTGTCTGCATCAACTCTGGAAGGAAAATGGAAATTGAGGGTCCTTTAAAGATCATTTATTCCGTCTGTCATATGGTGTGCAGCCCAGTTTAAACTTTAAAACTGGGTCAATGGCTGTACAATCCCTAAGTACTCTTTATCTTTTTCTCTTATTTTCCACATAAACTAACACTCTTTTCTGAGGATAGCTATACTGGATTCTGACAGTTTTAAATAATGGTATCCAAAGAGATCTTCATTGGATTCAGACCCTCTCATATTTGAATGTGTCCTCAGCTTCTACAACTGACTTGTGTTCCATCTACATTCCACTGTAGCTGAGGAACTACACTGCATTTTCATAAGAGATCTCCATTCTAGGAGTGCTGTACACTAAGCACTCATGTATCAAGTCAAATGTTCAATAGAATAGGCAACAAGGGAAGAAAAAAGGATACAAACAAGACCATATTTCTATACCTCAAAAGTTTTAAGAAAAACCTTTAAAGTGCCCCATACTCAAAAGCTAATTTTTCATAGCCCAACAAATCACCAGTTTAAAAATATTTGGCAATGCAAATCAAACACAAGTAGAGCAAAATAAAGAATCTTACCATAAATTACTTCTTGTCGTTTGACCACATCTTTCTTTTGCTGTTTCAGAAATTTGCTGTCCACCACCCGACTCCAGGACTCTGCTTCTAGCTGTCTGGAATCAATCTCAAAGTCTCCCATTAGCTGTCCTTCATTCATGTCTGTACCTACTCCTCAAAATATCAAAAAGTCAAGTAAGAATCTTGGCTTTGTGACCTCTAAAAAGCCAGGCTAGACTTTTTAAGGTGATAAATTAGACACAAATACTCTGTATTGATACAGGGGACATTCATAGAGAGCGTATCCTAGTACTAGAGAAGAATTAATGTCCTATTTGGGAATGACAGAATCTATATTCGAGACTGGTTAAGAATGACAAACATGACATGAATCAAACATGATTAAGATATGATTCTTACTATCTAGAAAGGACCTGCTACTTTTACATGATTGAAGAGAGCAGGCTTACAATTATGCCAAGATAGAAATGAAAATGTACAAAAGTCTAGAGGAATAAAAAGCACTTAAGAGTATGCCCACATTAAAATCAATGCCATCTTTCAAAGGACAGCTCACAATTGGTTAAGTGTGATTTCCAATTCATTATAATGCATTTGAAGATTTACAATTTAAAGAATCTTCAGAGTAAGGACGATGCAGACACTATTACTCATCAACATTAGTACTCTACCACACACCACAGTCTCTACAGAAGCACGGAACTCCCTCTTACCCTCATCAGTAAGGGATTCTGTTGACTCATTGACCTTGCTGATTTTATTTAGTGAGTCTGTTGAGTGAGACAGGAATTTCCAGGTGTTTGACATGTTCTCCTCATTGCCAACTCTGGGAACAAAAATACGTTTATATTGTTGTAATATACATTCTGTTAAGCATATTCATATCCCACCCTCCCATACCGAGGATAGGACACAGGAGGACCTTGTGCTTCAGAGGCAGGTACAATGCCATTAAAGCTAAATCCTCAGTCTGCGTGTTCGTATTCTTAAACAAGTACCTGAAAACCCTAAAATGACAGCTGCAAGTTCTACTATGACTCAAGACAGATTACTTGTTTTAGATATATAGTTACATGGGACACTACTAAGAAGTATGGAAGCATTATTAAATGATTCAATGGAAGCTCAAATTTTCAACATTTCGAGGCCCTTAAAAAAGCAATAAGAAGCAAAGAGAACTTAACATAAGAAATTTTTATTACCTAAACATTACATTTTTGCCCTCCTGTTCCCCAAATTACTGACTATGCACTTAGATTATACTTTTGGGAATGTTTCAATCCCAACTCACCAGCTAGCACAGTAAGCACACAATGTTTGTTGTATGATACAGAGAAGCATCATTTAAAAGTAAGTTTTATTTAAAAACCAACTATTCAGAGTCACAATGAGATTAACTTTGGTAACATAACTTTGAAAAAACTTGTACTAAAAACATGAACAAAACAAAAATATCTGAAACTGTTTTTAAGGAGGAAACTAACCAACATGGAAGTTAGTGAATATAATCTAAAGGAGATTTTGTACCCTTTAGTTAAGAATTTCTCCTGAAATGTTTTTAATCATCCATTTGACATGACTTACAGGGACTTGATGGGAGGTGAGCATTTCATCTAAGCCAGTCACCAACATACTCAGTCCCATCCTAATCACTTGATAGACAATGCCTGAACAGCTTATAGCCACAGCAACTTTTGTAGTGGACTACAAAAGAGAACTCAGTGAAAAAAAGCAGGAACCTAACAGTAGCAAGGGGCCCACAATTCACCTCCATGAAACTGACTTAAGAGTTAAGAGGCAGATTTAAAAAAAACAAGATGACCAGGTTCACAGGTACAAGAGAATAGTGTGACACCTGAAAATGTAAATATGTAGCTGCAAACAAAAATTCATATATTACTGTCTTATTTTTCTATTCTTTCTTATTTTGAATTAAGTCATCTTTCCAGAACTCAGGCTCTTAGTGCTCACTTTGGCAGCACATATACTAGAACTCAGGCTCTTCAAAAATAGGACTGACCAAGGGCAGAGATTTAGCTGAATTGTCTGTCCTGCTGCCTGCCTTACAAGTGCAAGGACCAGAGTGTGATCCCCAGTACCAAAAAACCCCTCACAAAAACAGGACTGACCAGGCTGTGGATTTAGCTCAGTGGTGGTGCTGCTGCCCGCCTTGCAGGTGCAAGGTCCTGAGTTCAATCCACAGTATCAAAAAAAAAAGGACTGACCATGTACAAATACCTACAGTAACCAGCCTGAATATGGCATTTAAAGGAGATACGTATCACAAAATGGCCGCCACTGTGTGTATACATCTAATTCACAGTCCCCCTTCTCTTGTCTCTAACACCCACCTTGCACTAACCCATTATTTTATGTTTTATTCTCCAAAAAGTATCTTTTTGTCAAATGATGTGATTGTTATGCTCCTGTCACCCAGGTGTCAACTGTCCTAGCTAAACCTCCACTTACCCGGTGATGTTCTGTATGGAGACACTTTTGGAGAGTGAGACACTCTGCTGGGACCGTCTGCTAGGGAACGCTGGAGGGACCATGGTTTCTTCAGCAAGGAGGACTGCAGATCGGGGGCGCTCCTTGGGCTGTGAGGCTATAAAGGAAGAAAAGACATTAACTGAGCATCACCTTCCATGCTTACTTAATACTGATATATTTTAAAAATGCCAAATAGAAGCAAAATGCTTTAAAACAGATTTCCCTTTGGAATGTGAGTTGAGTTGGTACAAAAACTATGGAGGATAGTTTGCAAGTAACTACTGAAACTGTAAATGACTATATTCTCTGGTCTAGTAATTCCAAAGAACATGTCTATTCTTTGAGATATACTCACGTCTGAAAGGATACATGCCCAAACTTATTCAATGCAACACTGTTGATAAAAGCAAAAGACTGAGGACACACAAATATCAAGAGACTTGTTAGTAAGTGACAGTATCTTATATATTAGAATATGATGCAGCTTAGCAACCTAAGGACACACACTCCATGTCCCGACACAGACCTCCAAAATGTGTATTAGGGGGGAAATAAAAATATCAAGAGAAAGAACAAAGTACACAATAGGCTATCTTGTTTGCTTGAAAAAAATTAATAATCCAACTTAACATTTGTTTTAATGCAGTAACTCTGGAAGATAAAAACTAAGAGTTTGTGATGTGAGATAAAAATTATGCGAGGATAAAAAATTATGATAAAGTATTTAATATTTAAACATGTAGGGGCTGGGGATTTAACTTAGTGGTTCTGTTGCCTGCCTCACAAGCCCAAGGACCTGAGTTCGATCCCTTGTACAAAAAAAAAAAAAAAAAA